TATATATATATATATATACATATATATATGTTATATATTCCTATGTTTATGTGTAATTATGCATGTAAATGTGTTGAAAAACTGTTTCCAAGTAAGTTCACCCATTAAAGTCAGCATTAAGGACTAATTTAGATAACTGGACTGATGATAACCCTTAAAGCATCTCAGAGATGTAGCCACACATTTCTATCCAGTCTTCCTCCTTTCTAAAAATATAAAGTAATAAAGCAATAAATTAAAATTGTTTAAAAAGAACCTGTGACACTTAGTTTCTTACGATGTTATAGTCCAGCTGTGATCCAATATCCACCGAGCTGCGGTACAAAGGGCTGTTGTGTCCAGTCACATCCTCCCAGTGTCCATGGAAGTCATATGACATGATGTTCATGAAGTCAAAGTGGCTGTTAAAATACAGGTAGAAAAAGATTGCTGAATAACAGGAAATTCTTTGCAACTACAAATAACAGACTATAAGGGCCAGAGAGCAGCCCCTCTGTGGCTTTCTGTCATTCATCACATATTTTGATGAATGATTTTATTGGCTATTTTAGCTTTATTTGTTACATTTTTGAAAACACAAACCAGGAATCTGACTCCAATGCTGCGTTCACACCAAAGGCATAACAAACCTCGGGTTTTATTGCAAAGTTTATGGGAACAGCGTTGAGGGGTCCGGCGGCGCGTTTGAGCATCAGGAGTTGCACATTTCGAGCATTCGGGGGTCCGAGCATTACACAATAGAATTCAGTAAATTTAACTTTTACCAGAAAGCTCCTTGATCAGAAAAGCTGATCAATGAGTTTTTTGGGGGAGACAGACACTACCTGCAAAATGTCATCGCTTCTATAGACATTATGCTTATCAAAAATAAATAAATATAAAAGGGAGTTAAACTCAGGGTGACCAGACAGCCCCGAATTACGGGGACAGGTGGTCCAAAACGGGGACTAGAGCTGTCGCCGGAAATGTCCCCGATTTTACCGTTTTATGAATGATCATCAAAACAAATTTCCTCAAGGCCCAGATTCTGCTGAGCTCAATGAAATCATGAAAAAACGGTTTTCTTTCATTTTATTAATTTAATTATAAGAGTTTTTAACACTCAGGTAGAAAATAAGAAAAAACTTTCACATTAAAGAAAGTATAATGGCTTCAAACAAAATAATTGTTTTTAGACAACGTCCTGTTTCACTTGAGTGTAAGTGTGATGACACTGAGGTGAGACCTGTGAACTTTTAAAACGGCAAAATAAGTGAATATTCAATATGTGCAGGAAATGACTACATAAAAAGTGAAAAGCCGTAATTTTCAGATTGTTTAAAAGACCCATTAAAAACAGGGTTTGTAACATCTCTTCAACGTCTATTATTGGACTAAAATGGGATGAAATCATACTGACCAAACAGCCCAATTTTTAAATACTATTTCTGAACTAAACTGGGACTATGACTAAAAAACAACATCTAAACAGAGGTCTAAAAAGTATTGATGTTTATTACTCCACTATAAATACTCCTGTTTAAAAACACTTATGTAGAAGTTAGAAAATCAAATTCAGCTTTTTAAAACTACTTCAAGTATAAAAGTAAAAGTAATGTAGAGATAATGTTAACAATTCTGGATGATAACTTCCTTAGACTTCATTTTCTTAGTTTTACAAATAATGGTAACAGAGTTAAATATAACTTTGCATCATCCCGAAGAATTATTTATTTTGGTATGTGGCGAACAACAAGTTGGGGCAGCACCGAGTCCAACTGCAAAGAAAGGAATTGTCTGGATGAAACTAATTATTTTGATGGTTTTTATTTTCTTTAAATATCAACAGGCCATAATGAAAATGAGCTCAAATGAAAGAAAACTAAACAGTTCATTTTTAAAAATTAAGAAGCAGAAGGAAAAAGTTGTCTAAAAAAATAATTACTTGAGTGAGGTATAGATAGCCAACATTTAACTTAAAGGCACACTATGCAACATTTTTCAGTTAATTAATGTGTTCCATAA